GCCATGGAGCAAAGACTCCATAGTATGCCCTATTTTAACCCTAGACTGTAGGCAGGTGGGAGATAATGCTTTTTGCAGTGCTCGTACCTGTGCGGGCCGCCTCCCGATCCCGTCCATGCGGCCATGTGCGGGCTAGGAGTGGTATGCGAACCCGTTTTTGTGCACACAGGCTGTGGCCAGCAGCCCGGGCACGCGGGGTCGAAGAAGACCGGTGGCGAGCTAGAATTAGTTACGGACACGTAATGGTTGATTAAAAGATTGTTTACTTACACCAAAGATGGTCGTGGTGTAGGCTGGACAGTTTTCCAGGCACGGCTCCGCTTAAGTCCTCGCTAGAGGACTCCGACAATTGACCCCGGAGTTGTTGAAGCTCTGCAGGTTCGGCTCGGTAATTGGCCCTGGAGTGGTTGAAGCTCCGCGGGTTCGGTAGTTTCAAAGGAAAGGGATACATCTAGGATCGCGCTCGGTGACGGGGAGAGGCTAGAGGCCGTTTAGCCCCTGGAGTGGTTGAAGCTCCGCGGGTTCGGTAAATAGGCCCCCGGAGTGGTTAAGACTGTGGGTTCGGGAAATCGGCCCTCTATTGCCCTCTTAAGGAGAAAAGAAAAAGCTGGGTTCGAAGGGATTAGCAGCGCTTAGAGATCTTCACGCTCTTTCTCCCAAACTCCAATTGCTTTCTCTCTCTCTCTCTCCAACTTGGGCGGAAGCCACCCAAGCTCTTTATACGGCTAACAAGCCAATCGCTAGCCGCCACGTGTGCCTATATTAAGATCGGCCAATAATGTGGCGCGAATCTAAATACAAATGGTGGGAACTCCTTTGCACCGTGCATCTCCAAGATGCAAAAGACATGCACCATGCAAAGAAGGCTACAAACTGGCGGGAAATACTCTTTTGCACGCGGGTTCTCCTATTGCAAAAGAAAACTCCACCGTGTAAAGAAGCTGCAATTTGGCGGGAACATAATTTAGCGGTGCCAAAGCACACAAAAACAAAAAACCACAACTTTGGGTTGTGACAGTACCAATCCCTGCTTGCATCTCCCTCAGGGCACAGAGAGATTTGTTGCTGCACAGGTGTGTGGAGTGGAGACAATGACACTGTGATTCCCTTCTCAATATGGTGAACACTATGCAGGTATCTCTCTCTCTCTGAAGCTTCTTGTAATAAAACCTTATTTGTGCATTCAAGCCTAATTGCCCATTCAGTGACCTGGCTGCAGTTAATCTTTTCTGTCAAAGGACTTCTCTGTTCACTCAAAAGGAAGACAAATCTTTGCCAATATTCCATTTGGACTGAGTTAACCCTTTCCTACTGTATGTACTTTTACACTTGCAATCCTTTACAGGAAGGCAATCAGTTAACTTTGTGCTTTTGGAATCCATGTTTAAGTTTCATGTCTTATGTATACACCCCCACTCACTTTCCATGAGTTTTCATTTCTTTCTGTTTCTTAATCGCCATGCAAAAATTACATAAGAAGCAAGTGTCATGAGACTAATTACAGGGGAAGGCAATTCTTTTGGGTGGAGAACCACTTATTGAGTTTTGGCAAACCATTGAGGGCCACATGACAGGCAGCCAGGGCAGATAAATATTAATTTTCTAAATTTTTTAGGGGCCCTGGAGAACAAATAGAATGGCCTGGCAGGCTGCATCCAGCCTGCAGGCCACATTTTGCCTACTCCTGTACTAGGAAAACCTCTGGATTTGTTTTTAAATCTCCAATTCTTCCTTCTTTTTGGTCAAATAAATGCCTTGTTTCTGGGTTTTCGTCAGTTAAAAAAATAGCAGCATCCCAGGTCTTATAAGCCCACTCTATACTAGCTGTGAACACATCATTTGGAAGAAAAAATTGATATAAGATTTTGTCTCCAATGGGTTGTTATAAGAAGTGATTAAAAATATACTACCTTGCTACTGTCTAGCTGATCATCTTTCCTTTAGTAGCAGTTCTGTGTTGGGCTATGCCCAGATTTTCAGATGTGCTAAGAGTGAAGGAGTGGGACAGGTTTGTGCTGAATTGTGACTAAGGCTGTATGAATAATTTATTAATCACTTTGGTGGCCAAGGTACCATGCTAGGTCAACCATGCACCAAGGCTACGGGCAAAAGTTACACATACATGGCTTTAAGTGATCAGAAACTGGTTTAAATCTGTAACAGAACAGAAGTTCAGTGTATGTAAACCCATTTCGAAGTGGCTGAAACTGGCTTAAGATAAACCTGGTTGAATGAACGTAGTATCAGATTTTACTGATTTAGGTCAAACCAGTTTACAAAACTTCTGTCCAAGACTCCTTCCTGGTTCAAGTTAAATCACAGTCCCCCAGTATCTCAGGATGCTTTGTAGCCCTGGGCTGGGCTGTAATGTCTGCTCCAGGGAGCAGGGTTGGCCCTGTCTCTCTGATCTATAGTGAGGGCTGGCTGACAAGGGGGTGGGAAACCCAGCTAGGGACTGCAACCAGGGGTGGGCAGTCCCTGACAGACCTTTCCCCACTGGAAGGGGGGGGGAGGGGGGACTCATGGGTTTAAATCTCCCCTCTCCCACCAGCACAGGACCCCAGCCAGGGTCTTCTTGGCAGGCGTGTGACAGCCCCTGCCAGGCATTCCCTGCTCATCACTGGGGCAGAGGGGGCAGGGGCATGAGGTGAGGTACAGGGTAGGGGGGAAAAGTGTGGGAGGGACTGCCCCTCCAGGCAAGCCCTGGATAGGGTCCAGGTTTAAACCCCCTTCTCCAGCTCAGTGCACTGGCCCTGGGCCGGGGCATGGCCATGCCTCCTATATCCACTTGAGCGGGGCATGGGGGGGTAGACAACAGCCTGAGAGGGACTGTCCCCCCTCAGGCAAAACCAGCTGGGGGGTTGGCTGGGCAGGGCAGTCCCTCACAAGCTTTCCTACCCCACGCCCAGCCCCCTCTGCTCCAGCAGCAAGTGTGGAATTGCCTGGCAGCAGCTGCCCTCCTCTCCACCTTGAGCATGGAGTGGGGTAGGGCAGAAGACTGGGGAGGTAACCGGCACTACCCCCCAATCCAGGCAGACCTGAGCTGGGGTCTGATGCAGGCCACGGTGGGGAGTTTAGCATGCCCCTTCCCCTGGCCTCAGCATGTTAACCCTGAGCTAGGGCCTGCAAAGCCTGAATCAGTTCAGCCTTGGGCTTTTTGACTATCTGTACTTAGGCCAAATACTGAAAAGGTACTAACATCTAGCTGAATGAGTGTAACTAAGAAGTCAATCTATAATATTCCACTTTGTCTCTTGACTGCTTATCCCAATACTGAGGTTGATTGAATTTGTTATACAGAGTGGTGACAGCAGCTTAACTTGGGGACTGTACCAAAAGGGGACAAAGACTGCTTGAGATGAGGTGCTTCTTGGGATGCAGATGGAGGTAGCATTGACAACCATATACAAGAACAACAAGCTAGTAAAAGGGAGGAGACATATCAGTCACATATACTGACATGAGCTCAGTCCCACCTTGCAGGAGGAGATTACCTTAAAGTGTGCATCTTATTTTGCAGTGATCTCTAACTTTCTAGGGCTTTTGAAGACTAAAGTGACTGTGGTTATTCGGTTTTTTGCTCAACCTGTTTTCTTCACCTTCTTGCCACACTGCTTCCAAAGGAGTTCATTTAGAAGCAAGAGCATTGACCACCCACTACTAGATGCAACTCTGGACAGGAATCAGTCTAAACCACGACGTGGTTAGGAGATCCGAGGTGCTGGTTTCGGAGAAACTGAACTGTGTAGTGCCATGACCCGATGAGAGATGCAAGCTTCTCTTGAAGCTTGTGCCTGGGAGCACACACTGTTCTAGATTAAGACACTAACAAAGATGGGAGGGAAATCTGAATATACAGAAATAAAAAAAAAAATTAAAGAGATGAGTTTTGTTGCTCATCGGTGCTAATTCGCCCATATAACATCCAATTAAAGCATTGCACATATGCAAAGCAGGAGAGTAAACATTACCCTAAGAGTCGTAAATAAACTTTACCCTAAGAGTCTTAAACAAACAGTGGCTACTTTAATACTTGTCATTTTTTTAAATACTGAAGAAGCTTTTAAAATCAGCAAAAAATTAACAAACTTAGAAAGAGAGTACTTTTCTCCAGTGTTGTTGAATTATAGTAATTCAAATGCTTTCATAGCAACAATAGGGGGGGAAACCCAACGAGAGCATGATTTTCACCTTTAAAGGTATCTGTGATTTGCTTCCTGACTTAAGTAGTTGAATCTTGACTCCTCACACTCTGCTCCAGTCAGTAAGATCACACCAAGTTCATAGGAATACTTTGCGCTTCCATGGCATCACATGGAAGATTGCCTTGGGTATTATCCAGCTCTCTGCTCCATACCCTTAGCTACCAAAGTAGCTGCCCAGTGTCTAAGCTGGACAGTTTCTCTACCCTGCTGTACTGGGTTTATCAGGTTGCCAAGGTCTGATCTGGCCAAGTCTTGTCAGCAGGCTGAACTTTACATCTGGGAACAGTCTGGTGGACTTGAGCGGGTTCCCGGTGGCCAACAGGCAGGTCTGGGGAGAGAGAGTCAGGTGTCTTGATTCCAGTGTTGCCAACGCTCGTGATTTTTGGCATTGTTCTTAAAGTCTACTCTTTGGGAATGTGAAATCTTAACTCTTATTTATTTCTCTCACTCTCTCTGTCTCTGTCTCTTGAGAGATAGACAGAGAGAGAGATGGATAGAAAGATAGATATAGAGATGTGTATCGCTATAGAGAGCTAGAGATCTCTAGACCGATAGATATAGGGGGATGGAAGAGTAAGGTTTTCACATTCCCGAAGGGCAGACTGTAAGAACAAGCCAGCAGTCATGAGCTGGCAACACTGTGACTCTTTCTGGAGCAGCAGCGGCGAGATGCAGAGGCGCGTGTGTCCTTACCTGGGCGCTGGCAGGCACCTCTCAGCCCAGCCCCGGGGAGGGGGTCCAGCAGGGACGCAGGATGTGCGCGCCCCTCGCCCCATGCGGCCCTGCCGCCCTTACCCTCCAGGCCAGCTCCAGGTTGAAGTCGCGGGCCCGCAGGAACCTGAGCAGGAAGGAGTCGCTGAGAGGCAGCGGCCAGGGCTGGCTGCGGTCCGCCTCGGCTCTGCTCCGCAGCTCCGCCGCGGCAGCTCGCACCGCGGGCGCCTCGTCGGGCAG